CTTAACATTTTCCCTTCTGGAGTTTGAACTTGCTTTGGTCCCAACAGTTTATATCCTGCTATGTATACCTTTTGTAATGGTAATGTTTATCTTGTGCCTTTAAATGTTGAAAGTGTTTAACTTTTCATTTATACAGGGGCTCACCACTAAGAGTTTGCCTTAGATCTTAGCGGAGACTTGAGATTTAAGACTTTTCAGCAATGATGAAACTGTTAGGATCTTAGCATCTCTTAGAGATAAACTAAAATATCTTTTGCATAAAAAGATGTACATGAGTTTTTTGGGGGGTCTCCAGGGGCAAAATGCCATAGTTCTAATGTAATATAATGTTCAAGTTGTAAAATGTTAATAAGCATGTCTATGTACCTAAAAACTGGTTCAAGAAAATGTCTGGTTGCCAAGTTGACAAGGGGTGGATTGTACTGGTTGACACACTGTGTCAATTTGAGAAGTTTAATTAAGTGACTTAATAAACAGCCAGGATTCTTAGTTTGTAAACATCCTCATCCTGTGTAAGAGGATGGACACTGTGTGTGTTCTACATCCCCAGCCCCAGGGTAGCTTGTCTATAATATAAGGAGGGGAGAGAGGCTGGCTAGAAGCCATAGCTTCTGCGCTTCCCTTTGTTCTTGCTGTTTACTGCTGCCATAAACTGCTGCTCTCTGCCATGTGCCACCTTTCCTGAGAGTAAGCTGAATATAGATGAAAACCTTCACAAACTGTGAGCTAAATAAACCTTTCCTTCCTTAATTTTAGGCATCAGCTATTTTGTCCCAGCAATGAGTGAAAAGTAACTGAGACACTACCTTATCAAAAAGTAGCTTCAACCTGCCACACTAGTCACTCTGGGATTACCTATGTATTAATCAGCTTTCTTGTTGCTTACCAGAATATCCAATACCCTTTAACCTAAAGGAAGAGAGGTTTAATTTGGTTTATGTTTTCAGTTCATGATCAGATAGCTCTAGGGCAAAAACATCATGGAGGAAGTGCATATCAGAACAAAGCTTAGCTCATGGCAGTCATGAAGCACAGAAAACTGCCAGAGTGAAAGGAGCCAGGGATCATTCACAGACTCAAGGCTATACCTCCATGAACTACCCAGATTGAGTTCTATCAATTCCTAGAGCAGATTCCAAAGCCAGTAACACTGAAACTGCACCCAGCCACAACTCATCCTTCTCAACTTGCTGCCTAATTGTATCTTCTTAAGCCATTCTTAATGACAATAAGAAGTTCACAATCCCACCTAACATATAACAACTACCCCAAATACAATAAAAATACAACAATCCCTTCCCCAAAGTCTCAACCATTCCAGCATTCTTCAAAAAGTCCAAAACTAAATCTCTTCTGAGACACAAGGCAAACAAGCTGCAAACCTCTGTAAAAATAAAAAACAAGTTACATAATTCCAAGGTATGGTACAAGGTAAACATTGTCATTCTGAAAGGGAAAAGTAGGGGGACAGAAAAGAATCAGACCCAAGTAAAACCAAAATCCTGGCAGACTGGACATTAAGTCCGACTGCTCTAGTCCTAAGTCTAGTAGCTAAGGAATATGGTGATGAGCTGTGAGTTCCATCGAGCCTAGGTGACCCCACACAGAGTAAACCTAGGCTACAGAGATCCTGCCTAAAAACAAAAAGTAATCAAATTGACTCTAGAGTTGAAAAACACTATATCTTAAATTAAGAATTTAGGGGCTGGAGAGATGGCACCTACTTGGAACAAGTTTGGCAAAGCACAGGGACGGCAGTTTGATACCCCAGCACCACATGCCAGCCAGCTGCGCCCCCTGGTGGGCTGAGCTGGCCACACACACACACACACACACACACACAAATTTTTTTTAAAATGTTAAAAAATATTTTTTAAAAATTAAGAATTTAATGATTGATATACCATTTTCAGCTAACTAAAAAGAGGAAAAAGCATTTCTACAAGTAATTTCTAGTACATATTACTCAGTGAAAAAATGAAGCATAAAAGAATACCTTATTGTACCTTCTCTCTTTGGAAAAAAAAAAACAAAAAAACTACAGGATCATCAGGAGAAAAAATAGCAGATAAATTCAAATTGATGCACATGTTTTAAAATTCCTGGCTACTCATGACAGAAAAACAATTCAGTATTCAGACATGTGTGTCCCAATTATTTCACTTAAGAGTACAGTTTCTAGATGCATCCACTTAGCTAGAAATGTTTCAAGCTAAACTGAAAGTATAAATAAGGACTAAAATATAGAATAAATATTTGGAAATGGAAAGAAACTGTTCAAATGGGGAGTGGGCAAGAAAAAGAACAGAAGGGAAAAATTATATTTTATATATATATATATATATATATATATATATATATCATATATATATTTCCCTATAATAAATGTTATCATTATCTAAAATTTACCAATAAAACAATTTTAATAAATTTTTAGAAAGAACAATAGAAGAGCCTCCTGTAAGCTAATGTCAGTACCAACCTTGACACGAAGTCTGCATAGCACTACGAAATCTAGGAGAAAAAGAAGACAACCACACATACACCTAACACTTTAGAACTTTAAAACATGAGCTTTTCCATATAGATTTTGGACCTTCCCACCTTGGAGCCCTGTGAGAGAAGTAGGAACAAACTAAAGATAAACTTGCTACTATTTCACCTTCCAAAGGGAATCAAAGAGGGAGTAGGGTGTGTTTTAGAGCTGACAACACAAAGGAAGGCACCAAGGATGGTGATGCAGGCCTGTAATCCTAGTGCTCTGGGAGGCTGAGGCAAGAAGACAGAAAGTTTGAGCCCACACTCAGAAATTTAATGACTTAGCAAGACCCTGTCTTAAAACTGAATTTTAAAAACAGGCTGGGGAATAATATAGCTCAGTGCAAAGGTTCTGGGTTCAATCTTCAATAATAATGGGGAAAAATAATAGAAAAATTGGTACAACCACACTGAGAATGTATAAAGCACTATTAAAAATACGTACAGTTTATGATCAGCAATTTGATTCCTAGGTTTATATTCTATTTCAACGTAGATTAATGACCAAGAGCATTTATACCTATATTATTAATAGCTAGAAGCTCTAAAACCTGGGAACAAAACATTCACCTATGACGAAATAACTTGTCACATACTCACAAAATGAAATTCAATACCTCAATGAAAAAGAACCAGCCATTCAATACATGAATCTTACAAATATTTTTTAAATGAAGACTCAGGGCTGGAGAGATGGCTCAGTGGTCTAAAGCACCTACTTAGAACAAGCTTAGCAAAGCATCAGGGACCACGGTTCAATCCCCCAGCACCACATGCCAGCCAGCCCCGCCCCCTGGTGGGCTGAGCTGGCCACACACACACACCACACACTCTCTCTCTCTCTCTCTCTCTCTCTCTCAAATAAATAAAAAAAATTTAAAAAAAAAATAAATGAAGACTCAAAAGAATGCATGATAATATGATACCAATATGTCAAATTCAAGTAAGTTTATCAGTGCATAATTATGTGCCAAAAGCATAAAGACAAGGAAAAAATTATCACCCCAGAAATCATAATAATAGCAACCTATAGGGAAAATCATTAATAGTTGAAAAAAGATGAGGGGAGTCACTATGCTCAACAATGATCTATGTCATAATGTGGGTGCTTTATGTTACAGACTGCATTTCTTTACACATTTCCTGAACGTGTATTTTACAATAAAAATTAAGAATACCGGGATTGGTAGCACATACCTGTAATCCCAGCTCCAGAGAGACTGAGACATAAGGATCACACAAGTTTGAGACCAGCCTGGACTACACAGTGAGTTCAAGATCAGCCTAAACTACATAGCAAAGGGCGGCCAAATAGCTCAGTGGATTAAAGTGCCTGCAAGCAAGTGCAGGGGCTGGGGTTCAATCCCTGGGCCTGCCATGCCAGCCCTGCCCCTGGGGCACACTGACAGGGCAAATGAGACTGGGTGTGGTGGCACATGCCTATAATCCCAGCTCTTGGGAGGATCACTATGAGTCTGATCTAGTAGTGAGACCCTGAAGACACTGCAGAACCTTCCCTAAAATTGAAAAAAAAAAAAAAAAAAAACCCTATATAGCAAGATACTGTCTCAAAAGCAAAAAGGAGAAGGAGGATCATAACACAAGGAATATTCATTATCAAAATAGTTGATAACCCAATACCATCAATTCTAAAGTCACCTACAGAAGAAATTTTCATATGAAAACATTCACTGATACACTGATCACTTAACAAACTTGACATACATGTACCACTTAAGGAACTACTGTCTTCAATCTGATTAACACCATCAGTGTCTCTTACTAGAGTGTAAGCATCCACAATACAAATAAAAGTTAGAAACACCTACTACTGACCAAACACTTTTCAAGGGGACCAGCAAGATACAAAAAAGCTCAGGTAGACAGAAACTTTATTCCCACCCAAATGTGGCCTTCACTCTTTTACCATTCTTTCCTACCAAGTCTCAAACTCAAAGAACCAAAAAGCAGCAATTCAAGTCACACATCAAATTACAAAAATCATCTGATTAGGAACTTTATTCTGTAGAAGAACCACCTGCTTGGATTCATTTGGCAAAATGACAGCTTCTCATGTTTCCAAGTAAGCAAAGGATTGCCATGCCAGGAGCCTCAAGTCAAGACTTAAACAACAATGAGGATAGTGAAAATTAGCCTAAATGGCATCAAAACCCTCACTGAATGCTTTACCTGGGATCCTGAAACCAGAAGTTTGCAACTTTTCAGAAATCATATACTAGATTTTGTGTGTATATGTATTTTTCACAGCTCAGTCCAGAATTCTCACGACATTCTCTAAGGGGTTCAATCAAAATGGGTAACAAATGTTTGTACCAACAAGTGGAACAGGTTGGCTAGTGAGGAGCACGGTGAAAGTGCATGTGGTCACTGGTAGGTCAACCGAGTTGAAACCCAGGTGTCTTGACCCCAACGCCTATGCTATGAGCGCGTCCAATACTTACTCTTAGTTCTTCGAAGGCTTCATCTAGCGTAGAGAGCTGGTGGCCCTGGTGTGCACCAATGACTGGACACAGCACACAGATGAGCTGCCTGTCTTCCTGGCAATAAGTGCTCAAGTCGAGCCCATGGTGCGGACATTTCCTCTTGGCCACTCTCTCTGCTTCCATTTCTATTTCTGGGTCAAATTCGCTCTCTGCCTCAGTTTCCCCTTCCGCCTCGGACTCTCCTTCTTGGTTATCCTCCTCCGCCTCGCTCTCGGGCTCATCCTCCATGTCTTCCTCACTGTCCTCTTCACTCTCTTCCTCACTTTCCTCCTCACTCTCCTCCTGCGACTCACTCTCTTCATCCGACTCACTGTCTCCCTCGGACTCGCTCTCCTCCCCCGCCTCGCTCTCTACCTCCGCCTCCGGCTCAGCCTTGGCCCCGCGGTCGTCCTTCCCCACCCCGTCGCCCCCCGGGGGCCGCACGGTCCAGGCCTGGGCGCCATGGACGTACTCGGCCAGGTGGTGGCTGAGGAACTTGCGCCTGTGCGCCTCGGCGTGGCGCGGGCAGTAGCAGAAGCCGCAGTCCCGGCACAGCTCCTCGGCCCTCGGGGCCTCGTCGGGCTCGCACTCATCGCACGTGCCGTCGGGAGGCAGCTCCTCGAGGGCCGCTCCCGCCCCCGCGGCCATGTGGCGG